GGGTACCGGGCGGCCAGCGCATAAGGCCGACAACCTTACCACCATCTGTGAGCCGACTGTTTGGAGAAAATGTGGCAGCCTCAACATCTCACAACCCTATGGGCTTTCACGGCCTCTTAGAGGGATGGCTTTGCCTCTTACTTTTTACTTTTTTTATGTTGCACCTGAAACCTGCAGGGAAGAGACCACTTACAAGACCCAGGCATAGATGAGAAGATAATATTCAAATAGACCTCAAAGAAGTATTGTAGGAGAGTGAGCACTGGTTTCATTTGGCTCACGACAGGGACCAGTGGTGCGTTTTTAGGAACGAATCTTCACATCTCATACCATGTGGCAAATTTACCAGCTGGCATATGATGAGCTTCTCATGGACTCTGCCCCCAGAGTTGGTTAGTTACTTATGTTGTGTCAATTTCTGTCTGAGACATTTGTTTACACAGATTAGTTAAATCCACAGCACCCTGAAGCTGCAGGACCACCCCATGACTGCTGTCTGTAACTACTACACCCATTCTTCACAGCTACCCACCATATCTATGAGGGTAAGTTAATAAGTAAGTTACAAATGGATATAGAACTTAAACAAATAAGAGTACTGATTTGAAAAAAGTTTCATTTCTCAACATAATCTCCCTGCACACTGAGGCACTTGTCCCATCGTTTCAAAAGCCCTTGAAAACCAGCAGCATAAATTCTTTGGGCTGCTGTCAGAACCAGGCAGTGACTTCCCTTTCTACAGCTTCGTTGTCAGGAAAATGTTCAGCTGAAAGGTGATGTTTAAGAGGACCGAACAAATGGAAGTCGCTTGGAGCAAGGTCGGGGCTATATGGAGGACGCTCGAGGACTTTCCACTTGAAATTTCACAGCATCTCATTTCTCTTGCTGGCAGTATGAGGACGCGCGTTGTCATGCAAGCGCAGCATGCCTTTGGTGAGGAGTCCTGGTCATTTCCGTTGAATGGCCTTACGAAGTTTCCTGTGGATGCTACAGTACAAGTCGGCATTTAAGACTCCTCATCAAAGGCGTGCTGCTCTTGCATGACAAAGCGTGTCCCCTTACTGCCAACAAACTACATCTGTTTCTGTCCTCAGGTGAGGTGGAGACACCAATTCCACTGAGTCCCTTAGAAAGAGCTAACCTCAATCACCGGACAACCCATATCAATATAATACCTGATACCAGGCTGTGCCAAAGGGAGATAACAGGAAAATATGCAATAAAAATTGTGATACAGCATACACAGATCTGACACTAAGATGGAAAAATGGAGGTACAAATTTTATGCAACAAACCTAGACCATAAACAACCAAAGCAAAGGACTAAATGTAGAGTTTGTAAAACCATTTTGTGCCTAGCTCTAGTGCCATCTGAACACTCAGGATAAAACCTTATAGAAGAAACCCACGAAGGATCAGTGAAATCACTGCTGATAAGGGGGATCGAGATGGGAGAAATGTTCAGACTTGGTTGGCTGAGTGTTATGCACTGTCATCAGAAGCCTCACAATATACAGTTTTCAGGCTAATGCACTTGCACACAGCATTTGCACAAGTAACAAGCACCATCCATCTTCAAGGACCAACTACCAAACTCTTTTTGGGCATACTACACTAGCATAGCATAGTTGGTATAGTGACTAGATATGGGCTGGATGACAGAGGGGTTGGAGTTCAAGTCTCAGCAGGGTCAAGAATTTTCGCTTCTTCAATCGCCCAGACTGGCTCCAGGGTCCACCCAACCATCTATCCAATGGGTGCCAGGGGCTCTTTCCCCAGGGTAAAGTGGCTTGGGCTTGAAGCTGACCACTCACCTCCAACTAGTACCGAGGTCAAGAAAATGTGGATCCACGCATCCATTCCCCTATACGCCTTCATGATGTACTGCTTAATTAGCTAAGTGCATTACCATTACTTTACACTGGCATAAACATTTTCAATGGTCTACCGTCTAGTCTCAGAAGCCTCATGAATGACAACACAATTTAAAGTAGGACTAAAATAAATATCAGGTCTAGAAAACCGAGATTAACGGCCATGCGAATCCATTGCACTGACCACACAAAAGTTGGCACTGACTTCGCTGACAAGCGGTGGTCGCTCAGTTGGTATAGTTTGCTTGCAGACTAAAAGACACAGATTTTAGTTACTAAAAAGATATTTAAATTCACACCCATTCTACTCTGTTGATGAATTCCTGCCTAAACATGACTCATAATCTCCTCAAAGGTTTTTATAAATAGGAAAGCAAACAGTATTGACATTTATGTACTGATCTGTTTGAAGTACCTGAGTACCTCACACGAGCCCTCTGTGCATTTTATATTCCAATCTTTTATCTGAAGGCTTTCAATTTACCATACCTATACAGGGGGCAAATAAAACAATGGAAACTCTAACTGAGAAACTGGGGAACAGAATCTGTGTTGGCTACACTGACTGATCTGTTTGCTTACACTCTGTGCGGCTCATGTAAATGCAGCAGAGATTCTACTGGGTGAGTGAAAGAATCAGGAAATGGGAGACAGGCCCAATTTTGGAAGGGAACAGATCCCTGGTGTGCATTTAGCTGGAGCATCTTCAACAAAAACTGCCACATTAGGTACACTGGAAACAACAGTTTCTACGGCTATGTCGGCATACATGAACCATGGGAAGACAACATCAGCAAAGAGGAACAGTGGGCAAAAATCAACAATGAAAAAATGATATTGTCATACACTGAAAAGGATTGTTTTGAAAAATTGCAAACTACCACAGCGCAGGTGAACGCAGAACTGAATATTCATCTTCAAGACCATTTCCACAAAAACTGTTTGATGTGAGATCCAAAAATCCAATATCCACACAGTAGGGCTGCAATTCCTAACTCTGACTACTGAGGAAATTAATGCTCAGATGCATAAACAACAGTGTCATGACCATAAAACCCGGAAATCAGACAACTGGAAACATGTATGTGATATGGTCAGATTAGTCATCCTTCATGCTGTTCCTTACATCAGGAAGAGTTTATATTTGGAGAACACCCTAGGAAGCCTACAACCTGGAATGCCTGGTTCCAACGGATAAACACAAGGAGTTTCAATAATGGTTTGGGCAACCAATATCATGGTAGAGTATTCAGTTGGTCCCATTATTACCCTGCTGCAAGGAAGTACATGGACAGGATGGATAATCAAGTGCATCCCATGCATGATCCTGATGTTATTTCTGAAAAATTATGGATTTTTCCAAAATAACAATGCCACCCCAATCACAAAGCTGAACTGTTCGGTCATGGTCTGAAAGCATGAAAGTGGAACTTCACCATCCTCCCTGGCCAGCACAATGGCCACATCTGATCATCACTAAAGCTCTCTGTTCAGTTTTGGACACTTGAGTGAGGAATGGATTCCCACTCCCAACATCACTAAAGCAAAAAGGTATAAAATTCCACTACAGACAATTGAAAACTTGTAAAAGTCCATTCCAAGAAAGACTGTTGGTGTACTGGATGCAAAAAAAGCTGGTCCAACACCATATTAATAAAGAAATGTTCAGTACATGCAGTGTTTCCAGTATTTTGGCCAACCCCTGTATATTTTGTGTCCTTATGACTTATCCCACATCGTAGTCATTTCTGATTAACATTTGGTCTGTGGAATGTATGCAATACATGTATGCATTGTATGTATCACAGACTACCATACTACTGTCTTTGTCAGGTAAAAAAAATAAACTACCTTAAATTACCTTTAACTGAAGTCTTCCATTATCCCCCACAACAAGCAGAACATATTATAGACAATATACAAAGCCATGAGCTTGTGATTTACAATACAATGACGAGAAGCGTGATGCAAGCTACAACAATCACTCTTAATGGTAGTAATCTTCAATAAAAAATCTTGTTAGAGGGGCTAGGCAGGCATAATGGGTTTTATCACATCTAGTAACTCCTAAACAAAGCTCATGAGGCGATGAGTAATGCTTTTCTAATACTGTTACCTTCTCTCGGTGTGCTATCTTCACCAACTGATGCACATATTTGAAGTCTTTGTGACCTTCTGCATCGATGGCAGCAAATTCTATTAAGAACTGCTTAAGTTTTTCTGAAAGATAATAATTAATTCATTATATTACGTGTGTCTGGTAGTGACCCTGGGGTGAAACCTACTAAAAATTATTTTCCTTGCAGTGACATTATTAACATTATTATCATAGTGCATTATCCGAAATGGTACGTAACCTTAATACATAAATTTTCGCATAACGTACCGGATCAGGCAATGACACAAGTCGTTCTTTCTTAAATAGACCTTACTGAATAAATGCTGGTTGTTAAAAATTACATTTGATACGAAAGGTAATTTATTACATTACGTAGATCATTCATCTACTTAACCCAAGTATGTAAAACGGGATTATGTTATATACCTTTATCATTAATATAATCCTTTCCTGCCATTATGTTCTACTCCCTTCAACACTACATAAAATAACAAAAATACTTCTCAACCGCAAGCACACACTAAGGACAGCCGTTTCACGATATTTTGGCGGGCTACGATCGCCAACATTCTCCTAAGGCATAATAATGGTACTTTTGAAGTGCTATATTGGCTATTCTGACCATTCTGACGATTCTGCTCCCACGAATTTCAGTTAACGAAAACATACTATTTCTAGTTTCAGCTTGAAGAGTGTTGATGTAGCACACCGAGAAAGATAAATATAGTGTAACTGTATGAGCCTTTGATTTTGTCAAGAAAATAAACTGTGATGGTATGGGTGCTGACATGTTAAATAAGGGTGTTATACGTTAAAGATAAATATTTACTGCCATTACTCGTAATAAGTAATATGAAAACCAATTGTACATAACCTTAAACAAGCGTGAACGTGAATAAACGTTGCAACAGGAAGTATGACTGTGTGTGTTATTTCAGGCAGGCAGTGTGATAGTTGCAGGCCTTGGCCTAGCAGCTGTAGGATTTGCTGGAAGGTATATTATGCGTGCTGTCCCTGGGATGTCTCAGAAAATGAGTGAGACCGTTAAGTCTCTAAGTCAACTTGATTCTTCAGTACGTGAAAAATAAATGTGACTTTTGTGAAAAAACTCCTTAATAAGAGTATTGCACGAATACCCCTGTAGTGCCATGATAACATGAGATTTCTTTAATTTCAGTCATTTGCAAACAGCAAGTATTATAAAGGTGGATTTGAGCCAAAAATGACTAGACGAGAGGCAAGTCTCATTTTAGGAATCTCACCGACTGCAAGTAAAACTAAAGTGAAGGTACAGTCTTTACAGGTTTATATTTCCATGTATGCTATGGCTGAATGTGGAAGTATATGATCCATGCTGTGGTTGGCATGTTTAAAGTCATTTCAGGAATACCGAACTTGTTAAAAGCATTCCAGCTAAATATTTAAGAGTTATTTATTCATTCATTTATTGTAAAATTCCATTGCTCCAATCGAGGCTACAGAGTCCTCACAGATATAGAACCAGTCACAAACAGATAACCTATACTATAAAATGTACAAATTATGTAACACATCAATTAAGAAAATAGTAAAAAATACACATGCTTTATGGAAAGTAAGCATAGGTCAGATGAAACAATAAACCAAACTGATTTATCTTCCTACGTTATAATGTGGCAACATCTTAAATTTAATACAAGTCTTCGTGCCGGAAAATAGGTGATTATATATCTTATGCAAAAGTAAAGCATCTTATGATTCATAAAACATATGGATAAAAATATAACACTAAGATTATTTTTACTATTTAAAAAGTCCTTCAGTGAATAAAAAGAATTTAGTAGGAGGTATTTTTAAATTGTTCTTTATTGTCTTAACAATTTTTTTTATGTAAGAAGGTAAGTGCTTAAATGCCTTTATACCCATTTATATAAATTGACAACTTTGGTTGTGAACAGTAAAAATTATTTTTGCTCCTGTTATCATATAACTCCAAATATACTTTAAATAAGGAAATACCAGTTACAAAGATTAATAATGAGAACATATATAGAGTAAAGCTATCCCCGTAACAGGCCATGAAGGGGCCCATAGGGTTGTGAGATGTTGAGGGCCCCACATTATCTAGACAATCAGCTCTAAGATGGCAGTAAGGTTGTCAGCCTTACGCGCCGGCCGCGCTTTACTCCCCAGGAAAATTAATTATTTAATTCCTGGTACTCATTTCTGTTAGAGGCTGAGTAAACTCCAGGGCCATAGTGCAGCCAGAAGGATTTGGTCAATTGAAAAAGATCCACGACCTCATCGGTAATGAGAATATATACTGAGAGTAAAACGGTAATACGTCTAATTTCTTAAATAGATCCCTACAGGAGTCCCTGTTTCTAGAATGTGTAATAATTCTTATGACCAATTTTTTTGCAGTTTAAATATATCGCCACTGTGAGAGAAATTCCCCCAGATTATACCATATGACATAACTGCATGGAAATAAAGAGTAGTAGGTCATCCTCAATGATTCGTGAGAGACAAAGGGCCTTAAGGATCTCATAGCGTAGCATGCTTTGCTTAAATTGACCATGAGTCCATCAGTATGATTCTTCCATGACAAGGAGCTGTCAACAGTAATACCTAAAAACTGAGTATTTATATTACTATAACTGATATCTAATTGAATTATTGGACTATTAATAGTTCTAAATTGTATATACTGAGTTTTATTAAAATTTAATGACAACAAATTGGTGTTAAACCATACATTCAATTGCTCAAATGAAGAAATTAGATAATTTTTAAAGTCTAGTAAATTAGGGTTACTAACAATAATGCTATCATCAGCAAATAAGACTGACTTAGAATTATTATTTACTACTGTAGGTAAGTCATTTATATAAAAAAGAGAAAGCACTGATCAAAGCACAGATCCCTGGGGCACAACATGTTTAAGTCTTTCCCCATTCTGAAGAAGTATAAGATTTTGTTAAATTATCATCAATGAGAACTCATTGATATCTGTCACTGAGATATGATTTGATTACAATACGTGCATTGCCTACACTTCCATAGAATTTCAGTTTCTTCATTAATAAGTCTTGATTAACACAATCAAAGGCTTTGTCCAGGTCACAAAAAATACCTCCCACATATGCCTTATTATTTAAGGCCTGAAGAATGTCATTTAGGAGTTTAAACGTTGCCATTTCTGTTGAAGAATTACTTCTAAACCCAAACTGTTCAGTAGCTAGTCTATCATTATTTATTACATGTTTGGAGAATCTTATGTATATAATTTTTTCAAATGTTTTAGAAAAAGATGCTAGCAACGGTATAGGCCTATAACTTTTTATCTTTTTGTCACCTTTTTTTAATCATGGCTTAATTACAGAATATTTCCCAGAAGCAGTAAGTGATAAATACAAATGGATTACAGATCGATTCCATGCTGATTTGCTCCAGAATTACCATTTTTTTTCTTGAAGAAAACTACATTGACATCTGATACTTCCCTAGGAAGTCATACATAGAATTTTGGGTGGGCATTGAGTTCCCTTGGCTCAGTAGAAAAGCTCTGAACATACTACTACTACTACTACTACTACTACTACTACTACTACTACTACTATGTGAGGCTAGACTTTCAGCAGTGGCAGCCATCAAAACAAAGTATTGTTCTATGATGAACTTGGAAGAGTTAGCTTACACTGGCCATTTCAGAACATTGAAAAAGCATTCGATTGCGTTAGTCATGAAGTATTATTGAATAAATTAAAGTATTATGGAATAATTGATAAACAATATAATCTTTATAAGTCTTATTTACAAGGTAGATTTCAGAGAACATCAATTTTAAATGGACTAGATAATAAAACAGCACTCTCTGAATGGGTTAAAGTAACAAAGGGGTTCCACAGGGTTCAGTGCTGGGACCACTGCTGTTTATCATATATATAAATGACTTACCTAAGATTTTGGAGTCAAATAGTGTCCCTATTCTATTTGCTGATGATACTAGTGTCTTGATTTCACATGCTAATCCTTTACAGTTTAAAAATACACTAAATGAAGTTTATGGGATACTTGAAGATTGGTTCAAAAAGAACTTATTGACATTAAATACAGTGAAAACACATTGCATAAATTTTACTGCAGAAACAATATGTCGGTTGAGAGGAATATAGGAAATGTAGGTACATGCATTATGAGCTCTTATGACACTGAATTTCTTGACTTGTCGTTTGAGAGCTCCCTTGACTTGGGAAAGACATACAAGTATTGAAGAGGTGATAAATAAATTAAGCTCAGCCTGCTACATGATAAGGAACATAAAACCACTGATGTCTATATTTACCTTGAAAGTTATTTATTATTCTTACTTCCATTCTGTCCTGACTTACGGCTTGATTCACTGGGGAAAGTTGTCACATGCTGAAACGGTTTTTAAGATGCAGAAGAGTTATAAGATTGATGATGGGTCGTATGAAATGTATTAAATGGTTCAAAGAGGGAGAAAGCACAACATATAGAAGTTTGGGAACCTCTGTCCTAACTGATCATTCACTCTTGCATGACCCCCTGTACTTCATGCAGCCAGAAAGAAAGCAACTTGAAAAACTGTCTCACATTGCAGGAAGCTCACAAGAGGATCATGGCACTGAATCACCCAGACCGGGGAGGATCACCTTTGTTGGCAGCAAAAATAAATGAAGCTAAAGACTTGTTAGAGAGTGGAAAATCATAAGGGTATTTCATTTCAAAACAGTAGCAAATCAAAATGAAATTAGTGAAACCTTTGACATGCATATCAGTACAAGCAGAATGATTTTGAAGGAATCTCTGCATGCTGGTATTTTGAAATAAAATATTTTTAAGTTGTTCTGGTTAGTAGTATAAATTTGTACATACTGTATATTTTGTCAACACAGTTCGCTAAGATTATAATTTTATTTTGTGTGGGATGTAGTGTTACTTTGATATTGTCTCTTCTTCCACTTCTGGTTCCTTTCTTCACACGTGTTCTGACAACATCCAGCAATTGCTATCACAAGATTTCAGTTCACCCCCTCAATCACAGCTCTTCTGATACATTATGTGGTTACAGCATTATACTGATTGTCACATGTGTGTGTGACTATAGAGGGGGGGTTTGGATTAATTAATGTANAAATGGCCGGCTGAATATATTACCGCAGGAGCCGCGGAATTTAAATTACCACGTCAAAGGGTTAATTAATGTCTTTATTGACCACTTATACACATGACTCAGAACTACAAGCAATTACAGTGCTGCTGCTGCTGATCTCCACAGCATCTGCTAAGCCTTCTTCCAGCTGTTCCCTGGCAGTGGCTTCTAACAGTGGAGATTCTTCAGCTTCACATGCTCAGGTCCTCTCTTCACAGCCTCCTATACAGAACTACTGACAACCAATGTCCCTTGCTTATAACATCTCGGGACAGGCCACATAAAAACAGTTTCTCTACTGTTGCATCCAACTGTTGTATTACTAAGAATCTGCTGCCTAGCAACGGGAACATGCTTACTGAGCTCCTGCCCAGAAGTGGCCGCTGTTTATAGAGGAACCACTTAGCAACTGGTCATCTATACGCCACAATGTATAGTGTAACATTTCTTTTGGTTATTAGGAAAAATTAGTGCGAACCAATCAAGATTCTGATCATCTGGGATATGGCACCATATAGTCTGGTAGATTAGTACTAGCATTTAAGAGGAACCTGAACCCTGAAGATGGAAGATCTACCATACCACATAGTACCACATCCCATAAGACTGTAATCTTAGTACCTGCAAACATGGACCAACTACGCTGTCAGTGCAACAGTGTCGTCTTGCCCCCAATATGCCATTGGTCGAATCTGGATCCAACACGCATTTCTCTGCCTGTCAGCCTCTACTGTGACCTTGTTTGTGTAGTTAACATTTTCCACATGTCAGAAGTACCGTTGTTCAGAGTCCACGATATATGATTTACTGTAGGTGCCATCATACCAGATTGATTCCATCTTTCATATGAACAGCTTCACTTCATCAAAGAGACACTCACTCGCTCACTCATGGAGTTGAGCCCTTCTTGAGAAGCTGCCAATTGCGAAGCTACTCAAGAACTTCCAGCATTTTATGGAACCCAAAGGTTCATTACCTTGTTCACAAGAGTCCTCCACTGGTCCCTATTCTGAGCCAATGAATCTGTCTGGGTCTGAGGCTTCTTGTGATCTTGTCTGCTGTCTGCAACTTCTTATTCAGTATATTCTGAGCTACCCTCCATATGTGGAGGCTGTCTCCTCCATCTGCAATCTGAGGATGTGCCATACCATGGTGACAAGGGACCCACCTAACATGGCATCAAAGAGACAGTTCAGTAAAATTAAAACTCATAAAATTAACAGCAACCATCATGTAAAAGGTAGAATAACAGTATAAAAGCAAAATGGAATCAGAGAATACACTTTTAGTTTAACAGAGCAATTGATGAATTGAAGTGTTCAGTACTTAGCAATAATATGAATCCTCACTTAATATGCTTATCTGAGCATCACATGTCAGACCAAAAATTATTATGCAGCAATTTTCAGAACTATTTATTGGGAACAAAGTATGCCCGTACGACTCGCCAGGGAGGAGGTGTTTGCATATACATAAGATCTAACATAAAATTTAATGCTATAAATCTAGCACAGTTCTGTGATGAAGAGAATATAGAAATTTGTACACTTAAGATTTCTTTAGCTAAAACTAACATATTTGTACTGTGTATACATATATAGGTCACCTTGTGGGAATTTTGAGTACCTTATAAATACGTTGGATAAATATTCAAATTACTCTATAAACCAAAAATTGAATTTATATTACNTTAATGTAATTTTGTTTTAGAAGAGTCAACTCGTAAAACACAGCTATTAGTGCTGTTGCAATCATATATTTCAGTACAGTTCCCAACAAGAATAACTGTGACCAAAACCCCTGCTACTGATAATATTTTTATAGATAAGGCAAGGATAAATTCATATGAAGTAATCTCTATTAGTAATGGACTATCTGATGATCTGATGACGATGCTCAGTGTCTCGTACCAAAAAATATCAATTTCCTGGAGAAGAAAAAAGTGCAGGGAATCACAAGAAGATTAGTAAATGAAGACTCAATTGCTCAATTTCTTAATAAACTATCTAACGAAAAATGGGAAAATATATATAAACCAAATGATGTAAACGAAATATTCAACTCATTTTTAAATAAGTATTTACTTGTCTTTGAGTCATGCCTTCCAAAGCAAAACGTAACAAATAAACTCATGGATAATTGCTGGTATACGTACATCCTCTAGACAGAAGGAATCCTTGTTCATTCTCTGTCGAAACAGTTACAACTATTGGTTCAAATCATACTATAAATCCTACTGCATGATATTAAGAAGAGTAACAAGAGGAGCTAAAAGGAAATATTATAATCAGTTAATCACATCAGCTGAAAACAAAAAACTACCTGGAACATTATCAACACTGAAACAGGTAGGACTAACAATCAGAATAAAGATTGTCTACCTCAGACTTTTCAAAATAATAATAAAAAAATAAATACTGAAGAAGCAGCTCATAGTTTTAATAAATATTTCACAACAATAACAGAAATTCTTAATATTAAGAAAACTAGTATTTATACTGCAATGTCATACTTGCATTCCCATTTCTCAAATGGTATTCCAGATATGAATCTTAATTTAATTGCAGAAGAGGAAACAATTAGCAAATTAAAATAAAAAAAACCCTTCAAGGTATGATGGTGTAAGCAAATAAAATTATAAAACTGTGCAGACAAACAAATCAGTAAACCTCTAACTTACGTAATTAATAAGTCATTAACCATGGGTCTATATCCAGAAAGATTAAAATATGCAATTATTAAGCCAATATACAAAGAAGGGGAAAAGGCCACTATCTATAGTACCTGGGCTTGCAAAAGTTTTTGAAACAGCAATTTTTAGAAGACTCAATGATCATATCGTAAACATAAAATATTACTTTCAGAGCAGCATGGATTCCAAAAGGGATCATCAACCGAAGATGCAATGTTTCAATTAACCAATGTAATAGTTACAGCCTGGAATAGAACAGAGTATGTAACTTGTAACATAGCCAAGGGCTTTGACTGCGTTAATCATGACCTATCAATGAAAGTGCAGTACTACGGAGTGCAGGGTGTATTATTGCAATGGTTTAAATCTTACCTCCAATATAGGAGGCAAAGACTGAAATTAAATTATATAAGTAACAAATATTATTCTAACTGGGAAATTGTTGGATGTGGCGTGCCTCAGGGATCGGTGTTGGGACCATAAACATAAACTATTTCCCCCTTGAAATAAGTAACATTTTGGAAGTTATCATGTTTACAGATGACACAAGTATTCTTTGCACGGCTAAAAACTACTATAATTTAAAAATAAAATTGGATGTTGTTTTCAATCATATGTTTTCGTGGTTTCAAAAATAATCACTTAGTGTTAAATCTGGATAAAACAAAAATGATAAAATTCACCCCAACAGCAGCTACGACCTACCCTCTGTGTACAGTCTCTCTTAACAAAAAGCTGACAGAAGTAGAAACAATAAAATTTCTCGGTTTGCAGCTGAACAGTTGTCTAACTTGTAAGGGGCATATTGGTTTTTTGCCTCACAAGTTGAGCACAGTTGGTTTTCTAATGCGTATATTATCCAATGTATTAAATATAAGTAGTCTTAAAGCTGTATATTATGCATATTATCATTCACTGGTGAAATACATCAGACAGTCATAAGGTCTGTGTTATACAAAAGAAAATACATAATAAGAATGATGATGGGAGTGGGCCCAACTCATACATGTAGAGATTTATTTAAAAAGCTTGACATACTGCCAATCCCATGTGTATATTTGCTCTCATTGATGATATTTGTTCTTAATAATTTGGATGCATTTCAAACCAGTAACTCTGTCTATGTCATTGGTACCAGAAGGAATGACCACCTTCAACACATCTATCATCCTATCAGAGAGGGGTGTATTATTCAGGCATCAACCTAAATGATATTCTGCCGTCAAATATCACAGTTTTAAAAAACGATAAAAAGCAATTTAGGTTTGTTTTACGAAATTATTTGCAAATTAACGCATTTTACTCAATTGATGAGTTTGTTGAGCATGTAAGTGGCTCAAAAGTTAAGAGTTAATAAATGGTCTGTGTGCGTAAATTACATACTGTTGAGACTTGCTTGCTGTAAGTGCAGTAGTACAGTATGTATGTCTGATGTCTGTTTTTTGTTACGAATTTTAATATTTTATAACGTAACTGTTTTCATAATATGGCTTGCCAGTGTGTGGAATGGCAAGGTGTGAATTTGATTGTGGTTTTTCTATGACCTATGTGTGTTGTCCTGACAACTTAAGCTATTCTGTCTCGGGCTTTATTTTATATTTTATTGGACCAAGGATGAATGATGTGTAGTCATCATGAATTTGTAATATGTGACATCTTTTATATCGAGCCATACGGGGAGATGATTGGATCCATGAAATGATAAATAAATGTAAATGTAATGTAGGTAAATGATAAGACCAACATATAAATTTGAAACTTCATTTCAGTTCATTCTTCAATACTACATAAAACTAAAAAAAAAAAGACATATCATTAATCACATAATACTGTTCTACATAATTAAAGGTTTAAAATAAAGATTTTTTATAGTACAAAATTCATAGCTACACAATCATAACTCACCTCCAACCAGTGCCGAAGTCAACAATACACATATCTATACATCCACTCATTGGCCTTCATGGTGCAGTGCCTAATTAGTTAAGCACAGGGACAACTTTACCTTATACTTTTGGTTTCCATGTTATGAGCAAGTGACTGCTCCCCGGTTACTGCCACAGACTGGCTCTAACCAAGTGACACAGACAGCAGGCGCGTAGTATTGACACTTCAGAAGAACCTGCTATCTCCATCTTTATAGTGAAGAAGGGGGAGCAGTGCGAATTGAAACTGGAAGAGCTTCAATATACAATCTGGTAGAGATAGTGTCTGTTCTTAATTAAACACCATGCTATGAAGATGTATGGGGAAGTGAAGGCATAGCTCCATCATCTTTAACTTTGGCACTAGATGGAGACTGGTGGTGGGCTTCATGCCTCTGCCCCTGGTACCCCTGGATATGGGGCCTACACATTGTGCGTAAGATAAAACTACCTGGAATCAAAATATGATTTCTGAATTGCCCAGCCCTATCCTAGTCACTATACTGACCGAGTTATATCCCGAATATTGAGGCTAGACACTAATAGATTATAATGGCAGTGTGGAGACATCCAGCAGGCATTACAGCAATATGCAGACAGCTTACTTGTGAGACATGGATGTCACTATCAGTGTAGGAAATAAAGTCATTCATCACAAAATAATTTCAAATGCACCTTTTTGCTCCATTTTGTAGGAAATTCCATAACATAGTCACCGGGTGGTTTCCAAAAAGGAATCCCACCTCCAAGTTTCTATCTCTCTCACATGTAACAAGGGATTACTGCATTCAAATTAATTCTTAGAACATAACACATACTGTAAATGTAAAAAATATAAATAAAAGGCCTTTATGGTATATATCTTCGTAAATAAATAAAAATGCAATGTTGTCATGACATCAAAAATATACAAATAAAAAATGTTCACCACTTCCCTTCAATAGAAATGCATTAACATTCATAATGCCTGAAAAAGAATTAAGTTTATATAAGAAGCAAAACAAAACAAAACTCCGTGGCTTTAGTCCGCAAGCAAACTATACTGACTGAGCGACCGCTGCTTGTTAACGAAGTCAGTGCCAACTTTAGTGGATAGATGCTCTCGTGTTGTCAGGGCAAAGAATCTCCATGGCCGTTAATTTTGGTTTTCTAGACGGGAGTTGCTGTTTCCTTGAAATAGCTCCTGGAAAACAGTGTCATGTTTCATATTATGCAACACAACTGGACTCCATTCCTAATGTACATGAAAATGTACCTATTGTGTTTCATTTCCTACTGTGGCACATCTTAACTGCTGTTAAATCATATTCTTCCTGTCCCTCTATTGCCAGTCTTACCACTTTTCACCTCCCACAACCTTAGTTGAGCATGGTTTTCAGCATTCCAAACACAGAAGTGAGATTTGACAGTGCTCGTCTACAGCTCATGTTGTGATGTCACTGGTGTATATAAAGCAGCTGAGAAGTGGTAAATTTTCCAGTTGCCTTCCTCATTGATGGTCACAAAGGGGGATATCACGGTATGTGCCATGTCCACACCCTGTATTCACATTTGCTTATGTTAATATACTTCATCTGTATTTATAATGTGTGTTACTGATATGAAAGGTAACCCCATCCTGAGCCAAGAATAGATGCTTCTAGTTTTCTATAAGCCTCTACATTCACAAATATCGCACTGCTACGATTCCTGCAACTTCTGCTAGAAGCACTGCATGCACAAAGAATACCTACAGGCCATCAGACTCCTGCACTCTACTACCATTCATTCATTCATTCATTCTAGACTTTCCACTGAATTAAAAGACATCTGAACCAACCGCTAGAGTTTTTAATATGAAACTGAGTGAATCATAACTGAGCAAGTAATGAATACACACTGCTGATGTTTTTCATTTGTTTCAGTTATAAAATATTGATATGACATCCACACATCAAGTCAGGATCCTTTTCTTAATGCTGTCATTCTTCAAGCCCTTAACTGTGCTATTTCCACTTTCCATTTCCTATCTCCTGAACACTGTACCTGTGACCACCATTCACCAAACTGCAGGATTCAGGCAATACCACAGACTGTAACTTCTGCACACAGAAATTCCATGTAACATCATCAAGAAATGTAAATTCCTTAAACATCTTTTACGTTCTGTTGTATATGAAGAGCAATGAAAGGTAATTTCAGTGTCTATTACTGTCTGAATGATAAATGTGGTACGTATCCTGTAAGCAGTGAGGTGCTACACATCACTCAGAAGACAGGCTGGGTTCCTGAACACATGACAAATTTGGAGATTCTTAATTCTTAAACATTCTTGAATGTGTGAAACTAAAATATTCTGAATTCCTCCTGAACATGTGAAAAACATGGACATTCAGGATTTCTACACATGTGGAAAATATGGACAGGCTCAGTTCTTGAACATGTGAAATGTTAAGACATTCTGGGTTCTTTGACACATGAAAAACTAGCACATCTCCAGGAAAAGCTTGGACATCCAGTAGCTGTATAACCTTGCACCAACATACTTGGTCTCCACAGAATAAAACAGGAAACGGGATCAACAAAGGAGACCAATACAAAGTGTTAACCAACACACTAATGGTCATCTAATGCTCCGTATTCTGGAGCACATCTTGAGCTTGCATAGTTCACCTCGCAAGAATACCATTCCTCCTGACTAGAAAATGTTCAATGTAACACTACGTATGGCTTCAATTGGCCATTGGTTACCGGTCACTGCGCATCTGATTTTGTCTCTGTTGTGCCAGCCTCGTCCTCAACTTCACTATCAGGTTTAGAGGCAATGACCCAGGTACCTTGAATATGCTCTGAAAAGTATACAAATATATTTTGAGTTTCCAAGACAGTAAAGTAGAGAAACTACCTAATTCTGTGTTCATATAACATGGTAAATCTATTACACAAATCCAGTATTTATGAGTACAATCAGCCATACTGGTCAAGAAAGAGCTATATGGGGCACAAAATGATTCTTTTTATATCAATAAAAGCAAGAACTTATGACTATATTCCTATGACTACATTCCTTCAAATACTTCAATCTATACCATAAGGCTGTCACAGCTGAAGACATTGGCTTGTTGTCAGTCACTTAGGGCAGCATTTCTGTCAGTAGATGCTATGAAATGCGATACACTGATGTTTAGAAAAACAGAGTTTCACATCTACACATGTGGTCATTTGAAGTACTCTGGAGGTACATTTAGGTTCCTCTGTGAAACTAGCTTTTCCACCAGCAGCCTTGACATTTCTACTGTGGCAGGGCTTGGCAATCAAAGGCTCAATAAATGCTACACACCTTAAGAAATTTTGGGGGAGCAGATGCATGGGACGTGAACCCTGGTTTTCTGGTCATCCAGACCATCGCATAGTCACTATACTGAATGAGCTATCCCAGCTATAAGCTAATAATTACATAATTTAATGATTCATTCCTGTGCATAACATTTACTATACTGCAACCACCCCCAAAACTTCCTTTGAGCTGATACACTTCCCTCTGAAGTATACTTCCATGCATTCCCCTCCAGTCATGTGGTCACTTTGTTCATATGGATGTGATAATAACAGTCTCCTGCAACAAGCACTCTGGGTTGGAGAGAAGGTAGCTAGTGGGAAGCCTTCAATGCTAACATCCCCATCATCCATGGAACATCTTTCCTTTGCCTCAGTATTACTACTACAGATTCCCAACACACAAAATTTGTCACGTACAGCCACAATCTTATCTGCTCTCACCATGTTTGAAATGTCAATATATAACAAAGTATCAAATTGTATTGTTGTGGCACAAGCGCCATCCCCATGGGAACCCCACAAAATCCTATTACATCCCACCACTGAAACCAGTTTATTATGGTGCAGGGGGGGGGACCTCAAATTCTTATTATAACTTGCCACTGCCAACCACTTTGTTATGTCCCCAAAATGCTATCACCAAATTCTTGGACTCCCAGTGCTTGCCACCATTCTGTTGTGCGCCAACATGCTGCCACCAAATTTTATTGTATCCCAAGGGGTCAATACTTGTACTCAGCCCCTATCATCAAACACCCGTGGATATCTCCTACTCCATCCAGTGATATAATAATTACAAATAACCCAATAAGCACTAAACATCTTAAAATGAAAACACATATAATTAAATCAACAATTACATACATACAACCTATTAATACACACAATCTGTGATTACACACCCTGCAATAACCTCTTAAACCTTACTACCCCTAGTCTACTGAACCTGCATGGTGTGAACAAAATTTCTGTACCCTGCAGCCAGTAAACCAAAATTATCTTGTAACAACAGTGAACCAAATTCACACTATAATAATCATTTGCTAACCTGAATGGATATCTTAACAATAAACCAAACTCTTATACCCTCACAATCAACCAATTTGTGAATCAACTGTTATGTCCTAACAGTCAATCAATGGATCAATTTTCATACTCTGCAACCAATAACCAAATTTCATATCCTAATGGTTAATCATTTAACCAACTTTTATATTTTAACAAGCACTTACTAAACTGAATGTTTACATCCTAACACTTATTTACTAAACCAAGTTTTTATATCTTAACCATCAATCCATGAACCAAAACTTATACATTCTAATAAGCAATCAATAAAACAAAATTTACGCCTTAACAATTCAAGAACCAAAGTTTATACACTAAAATCAGTAGACCAAATTCTACCCTAACTATCCATTAATAAACCAAAATTCATATCCTAATCTTCATCAAACCAGAAATTACATATTAACAAACAATTGGTGATCCTATACTTTAACGATCAATTAACCAAATTTTTTGTGTTCTAACATTCAATCAATGAACCAAATTAATATGTGAACCAAACCTTATATGCTCTAAGAACCATTAAACCAAATTTCCTACACTAACAATTGATCAGTGGACTGAACACAAGCAAGTTACTCACAAAACTAGATGAGTCGCAGAATAAAGATGGCCAGGACGCCATCTTGAAACTCCTTCATACAGGCTCTACCACGACTTCTCCAAGTCTGTCTACTCTGAGCAACTCCTAAGAGTCTGAATGCCCCAAAACGGCTTCTCCAATCCAAGCCCCCAAAATTATTCACCATTCTTACAATTCATGAAAATGCCATTCACTCAAAACCCTAAAGTCGGAAAACTCCTACTGGCTGAGGGCCTACCGCGCGAGGCTTGCCTGTGGGTCATTCACTTGATTTGTCAGAACTTTCTATCAGCTACACAACTAGCACCAGATGTCTGAGGAATGTTCTATGTCAAAAGCTGATCTCAGCTCTGGTCTCTGGCCAGCCAACCCATTGTTCACCCAACTTATTCCAATTTACAAAACTTATAATTTATAATAAATTTGACACAACTTGAACTCCTAGTAAAATAAAGGTTAATAGCCCAGGGCACAACATAATACACAATAAACATAATTACAGTCTATCTTCATACACAATTACAAAAGCGTAGATCCAACAGTTCATTATCAAGATAAAACTGAATGCATTTCACACACCCACCATACAAGTTTCATACCCCACAAAAAGAAAACTACTGATTTACATATTTCAAAGACATAACTGATATAAAATTTAAGACTCAACATTAAGTGGCAAGAATGTCACTCCCACCTCAGAAGTTTAGATTCATCTGTTTGTATTATTGATGGCAGGAAATAAAGCAGTACTTAAAGAGGGCTTTACTGGCATGTTCATACAAGGTTTCATGATAGTCAGTTAACTGGTTCAAGTGAGGGCACACATACACAATCACAATACCATACATGAAATACAGTACACTAATAAAACCATCACCTGCATAAAATCATGGCACTCGATGACCAGTGAATCTCTGGTAATTTCTTTGAAACACTCAGCAAGTGACGAGAAATCTTTACACTGGAGAATAGAACCTTGATTCCTTTTTACCAGTGTCAGACAGACACGAAAGATGATCTTGGAGCCTTCATAGAACAAGCAATCCCATATCCTCAAGACAGTCTGACACACAGAAAGAATATAAATATTATATTTAAAGGTCTCATGATGGTGATTACAAAATTTGCTATCTTCTGTGATGTACCATGTAGTGTGGTAGACAATTACCAATACCTCTTCTACTATTAAGACAGAATATTCTGAGCCATTTATTTAACAACCATTGTAAAAGTCTAGTCTTATGGAATGTGATGCCATCTGGTGTGATGTATGGGTACCAACACTTCTATCCTGATAACCTAGGCAATATGTTCCCCTCAGACATAAACACGTATCTACCATACTACATGGTGTGCATCCCATTTGACTGCAATCACAATATTCACCACTCTCAGAAAATCAAATTTGATTCATACATCCTGTCTGGACAACATGGAGGAGAGGAAAACGTTGCCCCTGACCCCCGATCCCTCAGCCATCCAGCCCATAGCCAGTCACTATACCGACTGAACTATCCCAGCTCCAACCTGAACTATTATTAGAATCAAATGTTCATCACCATTACAACAAAACCTCACTAGTGAATCCTACCTGGATCCAAATGAATTAATCCATATTATGTTATTTACAAACACAAGGGCCATACTGTAACACTGCAGCACAATGAGTACGACTCATGAGGTGTTCACTACAGCAACAAAAACTACTATTTTCATTATGAATGTGCTTAACATAAATGTCTCATTTGACAGAAATATACACACTTGTGGTTTAATGTACAGTCTATGTGCCATTAGCATAACATGCATTTTACATTTAAATATAAAGGCCGATTCACAACCATCACTTACATATGTAACATAAAAAGCAACACGTACTTCTATGGCATTTAAAGCAAGCCATGTCATGACATACGTATCACAGTGATTAAAAATATTCTGACTTCTACTCAAGTGTGATAGAAGTCAAAGTGCTTATTGTGACATGTGCATGTGTACAGTAAATTATAGGAAGTATGTGAGTGGGACGTGCTAGCGAAATACATGTGATCCATACTTGCAGGGTTCAAAACAGTTTGTAGGAGTTTCTCTCATGAAGGATGGCCCTCAATTAGTAGTCAGATGCAACTAGAAGATGGTATAAAAGTTTAAAAAAATCTTTAACTTGATGGCTCCAATATTGCCAATAACAATGAGAAAGCAGAATTATTCTGTTATTTTTATATCCCTATGATAAAAGAAATATTGCCATATCCACATAATTATTTAAGCCTTAGGGCCATACTGCACTGCACATGATCAGAAGTCAGAGGGGTGTATTTGTAAGACTTGATTTTCAACCAAGTCTGTAATAACAAGATAAACAACTGCAACAGCATCAATTATGCATTTAAGCCATTCTCGGATGTTAGGAGTTTCTGTTACACATTGACAGTCTACTGTACTTCTCCTGCCAACTGCTTGACCTGGAGACAGCCCCTGCACTCAGGAACCCAGAGAGCCCAAGCTGTGACCATCCAATGGACATGACACTCATGCAACTGTCAGCTCACATGTAACTAACTTCATGAAGCAGAGTTCTTCACCTTGAGCAGCTAACAGTTGCTCAGCTAGTCAAGGAATACCTCACCTTTTATGAAAACTGAAGGTTCATTACCATGTTCATGACAGCCTGGCACTGGTCTTTATCCTGAGCCAGGTGAATCCAGCACATACTCTCATACCATATTTCTTTAACATCCATTTTAATACTATATCATTTCTCATCTCCAACACACATGCTACACATCCTGCCCATCAATTATAGTTAGTAAGGTGATGAAAATGAGTCAGAAAATTAGACAAAAATTTATAAGTACCATATTGCTTACCATAGAGAGTGGTGAAACTTACATGTGTTGGAAACCCACACAGTATTATTATATTCAGTTTTCTTCAAAAGTCACATGCTATTATAAGCTGAACAAATATGGTCTCCTGAAGGGGCTTAAAGATGATTACAACACAACAAATTATAAAGATTCACAGATTCTAAGTTAAGTATCTGACAGCTGGGACAGAAGTCAAATTAGATTTTGCAACACGCTGCATGTGGCCCCCTAGGCACATATTTTAATGGTACTGGGTTAAGTAAAAAAGCTGCTGTTCATATGCCACTTGTTCAGAAGCTGATTTCACACAGACACCTTGTTCTCTTGAAACAACACACTGTTAAACTGTTCTTTACGAGCCACATTAACAATACCATTCTCAAGTGAGTTATTTTGCAATGCTGTAATAAAGCTAAGTTCATGTAGTAAGAATGGAAGATTAAAAAAGAATATCTGAATTATTGGCAAGTTTTGCCAAGAAACTGCTTTTGTAGAAAATGGTGAAATTCTGGCTTCAAATGATTAAAAGGCAGATAAATAATATAACTGGCTGTTCAAAAGCTGGACACTTTGTGAAGCATAACTGACACCACCAGCAAGCAGTTCGCAGCATGCAGGCCAAGTGAACATGAACATCATAGATTCAACCGATGTTCGTGTGCAGTTTTTATCCATAACAGACACCTCACTCATCCTAGCGGGCTAGCCCTCATTTAGACAAAAACTTATGGTTCAGGAATTGTGGGAAGTGATTTCCAAGATTGAACAAATCTGGGGGGGGGAAACTACCCTAAGAAACAGAGAATCTTAAAGCACATATGCCAAGGTTTCTTCTCCTATGCAAATTTCAATCAAATTACCAAAGTCTGGTCCTTGACAACACTCACACACCTCGATTGGAAGGACCTCTGCGAACAGACAAATGAACCACTTTGTAGTTATGACAGCCCATGGCAAGCCAACAGACGCCACATGTCTGTGGACTTCAGGAATCTTCAGCCTGAAAATGAAAATGATTAAAGCAAGATTACTTGCACTAGAAACAAAGAAAAAGACCTAGACAAATTAAAAACTGTTTAAAGTTAGGAACTGAGAAAAAAGAACTGGACAGTACAGCTAGCATAAGTAAGGGAAAACGGAATTAGACATTTAAAAATAACAGATTCTTTCTGTACAACACTAGAACAGTGTTCTTCGGTCAAAGGCATTCCAATGTAAAAATGTCAGAAGACACACAGACTCTCATTAACAATGTTTTGTATGTGAAATAATTGTTTTTTCTTAGCAGGTTAACTGGTAAATGATGAATTGGAAAGGATTTGAGAGGAACCAGGCATGGCCTAATTAAGGTACTATTCCACTATCTGCCTCAAGGGATTCAGGAAAACCACAAAAACTTCAGTCATGACAAAAATTCAAACCAAGCATCTTTCAAATACAAACCTCAAGTGTTAGCACCGCACCAGCCAGCTCAGTGATTCATGTATTATAAAAAAGGAACACAGTCTGGATGTTATAAAAGTTGAGCCAAAGGAGACACATATACAAAGGAAATACAAACTGGGTGAAAGCAGCTACAGTGTTACCTGATTAGCTCGTCCAGAACATCAATGTCTGTAATGACACCATCCATTGTGCGGGTGTAATAGTTTGGAAAGATGCGTTCCACTAGGACTTTTAGCAGCCAGAAAGTTGTATCCTCACTCTTTGTAACGAGCAGCAACAGACCAGCAATGTAGTTCAGTCCCTGTCAAAAACACACAGCTGATGTACACCAATGGGAGCCTGACCTGAACTCCTTCATTATATAACAGAGTTTAATCACTGCATGAAGAATTACAAACTACACACAACCACAGAGTGACAACACAGAGAAACAAGTAGACATTCTGACATAACTTTACACTATGTCTTAATTAACTTCTGTGACAAGGATTTTTCAACAGTGTTGCTAAATTATGAATGTGAAATAACAGGTTCTGGTAGGTTTTGGTAGGCTCCAACCTCATCCTTCCTTTCCCCTATATCTTGTACTTCCTCCCCCCCCCACACACACACACATTTGGTTTACTACTCTGTCCTGAAGACGCACAGCAGGCTCCTCTCGAACACTGATATCTACAAAACTATACGGTTCCACCAAGTGGGTTTCGTCTAGACTTGTATTCTGGAAGTGCTCAGTTCAAATCTCAGCCAACACATGGGCTAGCCTGACCAAAGTTTTTGTGGTTTTCCTCAGCTGCTCCAGGCAAGTACCAAGATGGTACCTTGATTAGGCCATGATCAATTTCATCCAAATTCTTTTCAATTAATTTTAATTCATTTATCATCCTACTACTCAATGCTATGTAGTCTTGACACTGAAAACGTTAAGTAACCTTCAGAAAGAGGAGAGAGAGAATGTATACAGTGTCACATCCCAGTGATCTTCAAATAATGGTATGATAGCATTACGAGAAGTTCCATAATTTTTTCAAAATTAATTGCTACTGAGACATCCTTATGAGAAAGCACAGTAACACTAACAGACTGAAACACTGTACACTTCATCATCCAACTAGAACATTACCAACACCATCATTATTAAGTGACTACTGTTTTAGGACTCATTAATAGCAAGAACACATATACCTGGCAATATCCAACTTCATGATTATCATGGGCATAAGCAACTAATATGTTATATAGCTGCTGCTGATGATTCTCTCCAGCACTGAAGAAAATGTTATCAGGGAATGTCCGAGGAAGGTCTGTTCTCACAATGTCCACAATGTCTTGGTTCATTGGTCCATTCAGTAACTTCTGATAAAAATCTGAACCCCATTCATCTCTCAGAGCTTCTGCACCACTCACTGTCAGCCATACCTGTAAGTACACAGTCTGTAATTACTTAACCAATGAATGAAAAAAGAACATGTTTTGCCACATCTAGTACTTACAAGCCCTCTATGTTCTCCTGGGATACCTTTCCTAACGTATCTCTTCACTGTCAAATTCCTCTTCAAAGATTTCCCTTCTCCAATTAGCTCCGCCCACTTTTTGGCTCTTTTGGCGAGCACTATCAAATATTGTGACATAAAATCCTCATAAGTTTCATAGTCGAAATCATCCGGTCGCTCAAAACCATATTCATCGACTTTGCTGGAATCATATAATTTTCATTGATAAGTTTCGTAACTGTAAAACACCTACTTCTGTAACAGCAACTAAATGTCTTTATTTGTAACTCACTGAACAGAATATTGACTGCCAAATAAAACAATATTTATTTCTCTTACATTAAGTGGTGGAGTCAAGTATACAATAAAATTAAATAAACCCTACCTGAAACAAGATCTCGCCATAACTCTTGCATTACTCAATGCGTTATATGTACATATTTCAACAAAACGATGAAAATAACCCAACAGCCACCAGGGCAAATACCTTACAATCCCCGCGACATATCAACGGTATGAATGGTATGAACGCACGTTCAACGCCTTCAACGCCGTGAGTGCGGTGAGGGCCGAGAGCACTTGGTGATCCGTGGGCGGGAGGTGCATAGCTACCATTGGTACGGTCCAGCCAATGGCTGAACATGGATTGTGCATATAGTATTAAAATCACACATTTTAATTTTAACGTTCGTAGCAAAAGTACATGAAATTCATTCACACTTTTGATCTAAAACACTTTTCTATATTGTATGAGAAATTTTACGAAATTACAGTTGCAGTGTAGTTATAGACTTGTTTCGAAGATTATGTATGTCACAGTCCATTCGCCTCCCAACCGTTTTACCGAGTCATAATGTGGTCGTCTGTTTTCTTTTTTTAATTTTCTCATGGTGTGAGGGTCAGTCGACTTGGTACTGTGGCCCCTAATTGGTCTATTGTACCAGCCCTGTATTATGGATGATGATTGTGGAGCAATAGGTGGAATGTGAATTGGCAGGGGAAACCGATGTACATACAGAACACCTGCCCTAGTTACACTTCGTTCACCACAAATCCCACAACACCTGTCCCAGGCTCGAACTCGCTTGCCGCGATGGGAAGCAAGCAAGTAACTGCCTGAGCTATGCCACAGCCTGGTTGTTTGGGTTGTGATAGCTTGTAGCATAGAAAACAGCATGTGGGTACCGACGTTTTACCACTTACATCATGATTTTGATCATGGATGTGAAGGAACGTTGGCGTCCACCTGCAGGAGTACATGGAGGAGATGTAAACATGGGGCACATCATGAATTTATACGTGTAATATTACATTTGAGCTGGTCATGGTAGCCAAGAATTCTAAGGCATGCGCTGTCTTCGCTCGCTTGGAAACCGGGATCGTGGGTTCGAATCCCACTCAGGGCATGGATGTTTGGTTTGTGTGTGTGCATTTTTCTGTGTTTGTGTACAGGTAGAGGCCTTGCGATGAGCTGATCACCCACCTAAAGAGTCCTACCGAATGTGTAAGATGTAGAAAAACCGAAGTGAACGGAGAAGTTCATGGAGGTAGGCCTAGGCCCACTGGGGCTGTAGTGCCAAGAAAAAAATATTACATTTGAAATGAACTTAAAGAATCAAGCTCCCTGTATGCTCATCCCCATTCTCCAACTAGAATCAGAAGCAATTAAATTATGCTGTACCTAGTACTATGTCTGTCACTTAATAATAAATCTGGAATAAGTTCTAGGCCTAATACTGGCAAAAAGTTTTAGAATATAACTGCTGTCCCCTCTTCCTTCCATGCATTGTTTCACAAAAAAAAAAAAAGATTTATTGGTGATACAAATGACATGCAGAAGAAATATTCATATAACAAATTACAAGAGAGATCATGCACCAAAATTTGGGGCTGGTCTCTCACCTTCAGTCTTAATACCATTCAATGGAAGGCTGGATGGGTCCTGTTAGCATTATTTTGTTGACTGCATTCTTGAGAGGAAAACTTAACCTCTTTCATTATTGAATTCCACCAAAAATGTGGTACATATGTAGAAGCCTACACAATGTCATAACTTGACCACAGTACAGAGATTTTCTATTTGAGAAATGCAACAAACTGACATGAAACAATGACATGTAAAACCATGAAATTTCTAAACCACAACTCAAATTGTTTTATTGAGCATGCAGAGTGTGCACTGGACTTCCGTTTCATAGGTACCTGGTTCAAATATAGACCTGTAAATGTAAATGATAAGGCTTAATAAATTGTAACTCAAGAAATGAGACCTCACACACTTAAGATACTATTTGAAGCTTTCACATCTACAGGATATAATGAAACCTCACATGAGCAGTCATGTCAGTGTGGACAGTCACACATGAACTCCACATCGGCACACGTGAGGGTCCAAAACTTAACTATATCCTTAATATTTGTCCATTTCAGGGATTAATTTAATGACACTCCATCAACTGCACAAACAGATTAGACTTCTGAATGACATGATGACTGGAGGAGCCAGGAAAGCCACCCGAAGCTTCCCAGACTCTGAATTCAGTACTGAACCCAGGTCATAAGATACATGAAGCATGAGTGTTAATTACTCATGTGTGTCAGTCAGTGGCCTTCATTTTGTCTTGAAAGTAAAGCACATCTTAGAACTGTATGAAAATTTGATGATACCACAGTATAAGTCACTGACTGTCCCTGAGACATCACTTCAAACAACTTGACAAGTTATATTTATTAAACCTAGAATGGTTAGTATCTGTGGAATTAAAAATATGTACTTATTATTTGTGTCCTGATTTACTTAATTATGTTTCCTTCCGTCTACTGTCATGATCCCTTTGATCTTCCTGGCCTCTCCCCTGTACAAAGAAACTCACTTCTGACATGGATGAACAGGATAGGTTCCTGCTTACTCCCAACAATAGGATTGTGATGACAGTGTTGATGATAACCATAATGCTGATGCTCAACCACAGTTCTTCTCCACATGCACAAAGGTTAGACTCTGTGAGAGAAGTGGCTGGTTCAGGATGGCAGTTGAGACATCCCCACTCAAGTCAGCAAGCGTCACACACAAGACATTTGGTACAAGCACCCATCATCTGACTTGTCAGTTTTCTTCTTTGCCATTTCATTACTATGAGTATACTATTTAATTAACCCAGCAGATAATCAGCTAATTAATAATAGCTGTTAAGTGGCTGACATTTCTAAGAAATAATGCCTTCTTTACCTGTGTAGCTGCCCCCAGTTTTGTACAACTATTCGTACAATAAAGGATGGGTAGTACAATTACGCACATTTCCCCTTGACACAAAGCAATCATATTAATATGAAGTCTGGTTATAATAGAATTTTAAAATACAGTAAAACTTGGTTATAGCAACATCAGTTTCTGTGACACCTTGTCTATTGCGTCAAATATTCAATGGTACGAACTAATTCCTCATAAAGCAACTGTTTTTATACCTTGCTTAGTACGACATGCACAAATGCATCAACCTCGTATGTAACATCATTTTCATTCCTGAATTTCTCTGATATGGACATTGAACGTAATTTAGAAAGTGTGTATTGGGCAAGTAACAGGAAACAGATGAAGATAACTGATTACTGTACTCGTATCTAGGTACAGTAAGGCACAACAATTGATGTAATCTACTGTAATTTGGTGAGTAGGCCTACCTTTAATATACAGTATTAGTGCGGTGTGTATTGTCAGTGAAAAGCGCTGTAATATGTCTTTGATATTATACATTTGGGCAATTCCACGTTAATGTTACGTTAGTCTGTACTTAACTACGTATTTCACTAAAAAATGCAACATTTTAACTCGGTTTTTGGTAGATTTTTACGTGACTAACATAAGGCTACCGTGGAAGTGCCCATTTCGGTTACAATGACATTCGTTTATAACGACATTATTTTTAGGTCCCTTTGATGACGTTATAACCAAGTTCTACTGTACTTACTGCTGTTTAGTCTTTGTGGCAACTGGCATATGAAAGCACTGATCATTCTGTAGGTTACTGTCTCCTACACTGTGAAACAGTGTAGTCATGTACCAAACGTCACCACTGTCAGAACCTCAGATGTCATGATTCAATTTATTTTATTATCACAAAACTTGAAAGCATCTCCCTGTTCTGCACCATGGCTTCCACTCAGCTTTATCATTTTGCTGACATACTGACCCTACAAATTCTTTCTTTATGTAATACTGACAGGGCAACATACATTCTCACACTAGTAATGGAGACTCATGTTTTCTGGGTTGCAGTACTGTGCAGTTTGGTAACTTTTATCAACATTCAACATTCTCCTTCTGCTATGCTAAATACTGAGACATCAGGTTCATCCAGAACTTCGGTACCTATCTACTGAATTGCAAGGAATCAAATTCCAGAAGACTGTAACCATAATCACTGCTGTGAGAACCTCAAATCTAACTGATGTTTTTCTTATTGCATTCTGCTTGCGATAACTGTCAGTTCTGCATACTTCACAAATGAACAGAGACATTTTTATCCTCTTTGCAGTTTCTAAGGAGGGAACAGAGATTGGGGAAACAAATCTGTATTGAAGACTGCAGCAGCAATAAATGAGAACCACGTGAAAATGAAGATAAGTACCAGAGTGATGGCTAGAACAATCTGAGAATTTACTTTCAAGACTTTTTCCATTACAAAGGTAGGCAATGCTGCAGCATACAGTAATTTATTTATTAATGGTCTATTTAATGATGCTGTCAGTAGTTTAGGCTGTATAGTACTGAATCACAGGATCAGTGACTTTGAAAGACTGTGGAAAAAGCAGCCATGACATTCTGAACACAACAAAACATTCTGGAAACTCGATCGCTTTCCATCATCAGACAAAGAGGTGGGGAGGAACCTACTCAGTTGTGTCCTTTAGAAAGACTGGCTCTGTCATTCTGCCTCTCATTTTTTACTTGAGGATGGAAATGGTTCCAGTTTCCAAAACGTTTTCTTATGATCAGAATAGCAAGTGATTAAAGAATCTAAAAACCCAGCAATGTTAAGTGTTAAAAATGCTTTGACAGAAACAATAAACAATTAGTATCTTGAAGCATTGTCACTCCTCAAGAACCACCATCCCATCACGTCAGTCATCTATGCTCCTGCTTTTAAACTGCTCTGCCGACAGTCATTCAGTTTTGCATTAGTGACTGTTCTTGTTCTTCCTTTCAAAATATATTGATTCTGCCATCTAGCATAAGCTTTACCAGTACTTCAACCTAAGATTTATTCATTGTAATTACTCTTTCTGTACAGAATACATTGTGAAGATATACTTTATGAGTAACAGATAAATACCTTAAATACTATGGATTAATAAAACAATTTCAGTTATGTCTTAGTATGCTTTGTGGAGGGTGCATCAATTTTATTTAGGGCAGTCTTCTATTTACATACCATAAAAGCTTTCATTTTCTAGACTGTTACTCTAGCATATTTTTTTTAATTTATTACCAATATAGTTACATAACCACATAAAATTATATTCACATTCCCCTACTTCCATTATCCCCTTTCGACCAAACACTAAATTCTGTTTCTTAAAATTTTTTCTTCACAACCATATTGCTTGTAGCACAGCATACATATATCATCTGAAAATATATTAAAATCAATCTGCATTCAATACTACACAAATTGTACACATAAAATTTACAGTCATATATCATTACAATACTACAAAATTTATGGAGCAGCTATTCAAATCCATGACTCATTAAAGTTAGGATGGAGGGCCCTGAATTATTAAATACATCCTTGTATAGTAGACACAAGGAAATTCTGATTCTTTGAAACAATAAGATGGGCACAGGAGATGTGACACTGTACACCTCATAATTCAGACGTCATCACAGCACAGAAGTTAAATGTGTTGCAAGATGCAGACTGTCACATACTGCTATGCCAACAGATCATCATCACTGGAAACAGAGTCTGAAGGAAGTGCGGGTGACAGCATATTACTACTTGTAGAAATACTGGGATCATTAGTGTCACTGCTATTTGGGGTTGTGCCTGAAGATTCAGGAGTAACTGATGCCCTGCAAGTCTGAGTTGACTCAGTGACATCAGATTTGCATAAAGATGCACCGGGACAATCCAACCCAAGTCTTCGGAAAGCTGCCTCCAGATCTTCAGGAGATGAATCCAAGCCCAAACCAACAAATGACTCCAGAACCTGTTGCCTGAATTCTTCACTTGCAGGGTCAAGATCCTCTTTGGAAATAATGGGATTTACAGGCTGATCCCTCCCACGTGCTTTCCATTTCAAACCTAGATTTTTAAAAGCATTGTTCACATCAGTCCTGGATGGATTCTTGCCAAGTTTTGCAAAAGTTTCTGCAACCTGTTGAGAAAATCCAATTTTTTTATCTGCAATGCTTTCACGATCCCTGAAGCTTTCTGCAGTGCCTGTTCCTTTTCCCACATAGCTCTCAAGGACAGCCTGTTTAAACTTTTCATGTTCAGCATGCTGGGGAACTGAAGCAGTGGAGTTTCTGCTTTCGGTATCATGTGACGATGGTCCTGACCCATCACTGTCACCTGAACGGGAGGCTGACACTTCAGACGTTTCATGATCTGACTGCTCAGCCATCTTCGTCCATGCCAGAGGGCTTGTGATCAGCCCCCTCCTCAACATCTCCATCATAACGTCAGGTATGTCGTCGTCAACCCAAACTTCACTATCTTCACCACTTTCAGACTTCTCTTCAGCAACACTCTTTGGGTGCTTTGTATTGCAAGAGTATACAGATTGTGTGGACTCCGCTTCAGTAATGGTTGAGAGTTCCTTGACTGGTCGTGTGTCTACAGCACTGAAACCAAGAAGGAGGCCTGGCATAAGCACAAGAAGTGGTGTCACACCATCAGTGTGTAGGAAAGGTGATACACTTGTACACTGCAGACCTCAACTATGAAATTAAATGATTAAAAAATCACTGCCTTAATGTTCAGCTGCAAGTAGGGCTTGATAAGAGCAGCTGAAGCACTTACCTGATGGACACACAATTTGCACGGGCAGTTTCTGCTCAACTGCGTCTCCCCCTTCCACATAAATACAAAATGAAACAGAACTACTTCCCACTCAACATGAATCATTACTACACGAAAAGAATGACACTTGTATTTGCAGGCTTAATTACACATTAAATGATGATGAAACAATGGAAGGATTTTGTTTTGTAATATTTATTGCAAAGCATCAGTAGGCCTAATACTGGAAAGAGTGATAATGCAACTGTAGAAAAATTTATCGGTGGAATCCCACAGATTCCCTTGTAGTGTATTAAACACATTTTTGTAATCATTGATATATGTCATGGACAGACAGAAGAATTTTATATCAACAACTGCTTTGAATCTCTGGCCTCCCTTTGAGTGTGGATTTTACCAAAATATTATGTCCAACAAATTCCAATCCCACATATCACAACCTGAACACCAAATAGGCCTACTCAGCTAACATGCATAAAACTGAAAGAAAACATTCACAGTAGGATAAGAGGTTCTTCTGTTTACTGGTGTTTTTCATTTCATTTGTTAAGTTCTAGGTTACAGCTTTCACAGATGTGATGCTGTGTAGTCTAGTAGATACATAACAACATGTTGGAGGAAAATACTGCCTCCATCTTCAGCGTGGAAGATGACAGCAGCAAGTTCCTATGATATGTTTGGAACATCCCACCAAACAACACCACTCCACATCCAGTAAGACCTCAACACTGCGAGAACCTCAAATCTCAGACAGGAGTTTGTCTGTACAATAAACCTACAAGGTGTACTTACTGAATACAGCATGGGCCCAGACAGAGACTACGCCATGTATCTTGTACTGACAGCAACTTTCTTCATGTAGGAGATAACTGATTGACACAAGGCATATCTTATCTCACATAACACGCACACTGAGACGTTACAAGCCACTGACTTGCAAATGATAACATTTACATGGTGCAGATGCTTCAAAGGCTCTAATAAGGATCTAGATGCATTAAGCAGGGCTCCCCTTGAGAAGCTCCTCAAGAGGTTCCATGTCCTTTATGGGGGACCCAAGCCTTTTCACCATGTGCACATGACCCCACCACTGGACCTTATTCTGACCCAGATGAATCCAGCCCACACCCTAAGAATCTACTCCTTTAAGATCCATTCTAATATTACCTTCTTATTCACACAGGGTAGCATAGTTGGTTGAGGCACTATGCTACATGCTGCAAGGTTGTGGGTTCAAATCCCAATGAATTCACTGGATCTTTCTATTGACCTAACCCTTCCAGCTGCATTATGGCCCGGGTGTCAACTCAGCCTCTAACAGAAATAAGTACCAGGAATCTTCCTGGGGGGTAAAGGATGGCTGGCACATAAGGCTGACAACCTCAGCATCATCTGGGAGCTGACTCTCTAGAAAATATGGGAGCCTTGATGTTTCACAACCCTATGGGTCTTCATGGCCTGTTACACGGATAGCTTTACATTTTTTTTTATCCCTTTATATACACACAGGTTTTCCTTTTCAATAAAACCAATAGCCTGCACACAATTTATGATAACCTTGCAACAAATGCTTCACTTTGCACTGTGAGGCAAACATCACAGGCAAGTGCTTAGCTTTGTATTCAGGAGGTCCCAAGTTCAACCTCAGCCCAGAGACCAACTATCATGACTGATATTTTCATGGTTTTCATCATCTCTCCAGCCAAATGTTGGGATAGTACCTCAAATTTGGGCACAACCACTGCCTGATGTAGCACAACTTTATTATTTTATATTCCTCTTCCCCTGCCCCAGAGTAGTATATTTTGCAAATATTTATACCAACACAGCGCTCATTAAGTGGTGCTAGTGTTGCTCCCACCTCAAACATTTGCATGGTCATCATACAAGTGTCTACTCAGGAATCATTACTCCAGATGCTTCCACTTTAGCCAATAACTACAGCAGTTGCTACACACAACACAGTCACATACGTGTGATGTTAAATGAGTTTTAAGCGTTCATCACATTTCTTTCTTTTAGCTGTTCTGCGTTATCATTTCAAACAGTATGCTTCAATATAAGCAATGTGGATTGACATAATGTAATAAAAACGGGAGCAGAACATACTGAGATTCTTAGAAATGCTCTACTTATCTCTAAGTTCAAGTTCGCTTTTTGTCAAGGCCTTCAGTCCTGTGTTCCATTATGATATGATATAGCCTTCGTAAGCAAGATTAGAAGAGATGTTCAGAACCACGCCTACACTGATATGTTATCAGGTGCACTGATCACATGTGATAATTATTTTCCTATCTGATTCTGCAACCTGGTCTCTCAAACAGATTGAGGGTGTTGAGGGCAATGTTGCAACGTATGCAAGTGAAGTGGCAGGAAGGTGGGGACAACTGCATAACCAGGAGCTTCATAATTTGTACTCATAACCAAATATTATTAGAGTAATAAAATAAAAGAGGGTGACATGGGCAGGGCATGTAACATACATCAGGGAAATGAGAAATACGATATAAACTCTGGTTGGAAAATTTCAAGATAACAGATCACTTGGTAGATAGAAGGATAATATTAAAATTGATCTTAAGGAAATAAGGTATGAAAGTTTGGACTGGATTGAACTGGCTCAGGATAGGAACCAGTGATGGACACTTGTAAAGTTGGCAGTGGAAATAATGGACTTACTTACAATAAGAGATATTTACATACATTCTCAAAATGTTGAATACACAGCAACATGTCCACATAATAAAATCCATGAGACTCAAGTTTATGGAATTCATTTTGTTATGAGGAGGACCTGTATACTGAACTCATGACCTGGTCACTTAAGCTCTGAAGGCAACTGGAACATGAAGGCAGTGGACCACTGCCATTAGTACCACCTACTATCCACGATTATTATTTATTTATGGCAGTGTTTCCCCACCATTCTACCAATGACCCTTTTTATCACATCTCTCCCAAGGAACCCCACTAAAAAACTCATCAAACTTGTTTTCATTAACTAGTCACTAACTCAAGGATTCTAAGAGTGGGCAGTTCTGGGTCGGAGAAGCGAGCACAGAACCAGCAGAAGCCAGTGGCTTGACATCTGCTTCCACTGGTTTCATGCTTGGCTTACTCTTCAAACCTGAAGACAGAGGTGATATGGTCCTCTGACATGACAGGCCCTCTTCAAACTACAAGGCATTACAACTCAGAAGTCTGCACTCTTCACAGTCACTGCTGTTAAGAACCCCAAATCCATCATGGTAATTAACTCATTTTCCCATTTTTTACTACAAAATAAAAGACACACACTATGCAATAAAAGCAGTCATATTAGGAAGCTTACTTATTTAATGAGATGGTTGATATTTCACTTTGGAATGACAAGCCATCCAGTGTAAACAAATTCAATATGAACTCACTCATGTCAGTGAGCTTCAGAACTGTGCTCAGGTGAGTGAGCTGCTGTTTCCATGGGCTAACACTGGCAAAGTTCCATGTTAGTCTCTTGGTTCTCCTTGTTTCATTTCGAGTGCAGTACTGCTGCTGCCACTACTGCCCCCACCCCCACCACCACCACCACCACCACCACCACCACTACTAGTTATTGTTGCTGTTGTTACCTCTGCTTTCCTTACCATCATCATCATAATTATGTTCTGCTATTTCGTACTTTTGCCTTCGGTCTCAATTTGACTGCTTTTATTTGGTTGCATGGAGTCTTTCCCTGGTTCCTGTTGTTATGTAAATGTTTCTTTGCTCTCAAGTGTTAGAATTCAGTGGGTCGTTATTTCTTACTTGCACATCCTCTGTTATGTTATCGCATTGTATGGGGGGGTTTCTGTTTATGCCACATAGTCTGGTTGTCTAACCTTTGTACTGCTATCTGGTGAATTCCATATTAATAAAGATTTTTGTTATGTGTGTGTGAAAAAGCTTCCTCACCAATTACCAACTCTGACTCACATGACGCCTGTGCAGCCACTTCCCAACACAAGTGTTCTGGGGAATGACCCACAGGCAACCAAAGTAAAATTACAGTTCTGAATACTCTAATCTTTACAGCCTTAGACAGCAGATGTGAAGACAAAAAGATATGAAGTAAGAGGGTACTAACCTCTGTAACTTGTGCCTCCAGAGGCACGGAGGTGGACGAACGTGAGGTCGATGGCAACGCTGCTGCTGCTGCTCTCCAGTTCCACCTCCACCAACTGGTTTAATGGAGGCAACACCTTCTGCGCTTCCTTCATTTTGAGACACTTGTTGTCTACTATCTGCATTAGGAACCCAAGTGGGAGCTCCTGATTTTCGATCTGTAACCTCTGTGCTGATGTGCCCCTTGTCTTTACTTGAAAGATGTGTCATCACAGAAGACGATTCGGGTGACCTCAAATATTTTGTTGAGTCAAACCCATTGCTACTGGCATTATTGCTGCTCCTGCTGCCTGAACATTCTATGAGCTTCCATTTCTTGCCGCGAATTTGCTCTATTTTCTTGGTAAGATTTGAAATTCTTTCTGAGCATTTCTCTGAATAACCTGAAAAAATTTGGGGGAATTTAAGTACTTTATATTCATCAAGACTCATGTCTGAAATAAATGATGGAAATGGGGGGGTTTTTACATTAAATTCACATAAACTGTCACTGCACCTACATGAGCTATGCAGTTGTTCTTGCATGGATACATCTTTCCTTCCTGTACCTTCAAGTCTGCTCATTCTATCGTGTAAGTCTCTGCTCATAATTTTATGGGAAGTTGGTAACATTCCTAGAGTTGAGGTGCTCTGTATCTCAGTGGCAGAGTGTCTGAATGCATTGTAAGAATTAGCTCCTGCTACCTGCGATACTGATGTGATACAAACTGCCTGTCTACTATGTGACACGGTTTCACGTTCCAATCGTGGCATTCGAACATCATCCGTCATATATCGCATCTCCTCCTTCATGGTGTGTGTCAACTCTTCTACAGCGTCGATACCTGATCTCAGATTTGTATGCATTTGTTTCTGCATTGTTTCTTTTCTTTTTGCGCTGCCTACTGTCATTTCATGATGTACATTTCTGTCAATCTCTTCGGCCCCACTTGTTTCCACATCTGGCGCAGAAGTGTCGCTCATGCTTACGTCAAGATTCTCAACACTCTCCCTGCTCATTACAAGGAGTCGTGATATGTAAACTGCTAAAGAGGAGTTAGTTCCACATGCATCGGGACATCTCTCTTCATATTTGTGAACAGTTTCAATCTGTTTCCCAAGACCGTGAATGTCTGAAGAATCAGACTGATCTGGTGGACTTATGTAAGCAGTACTAGCCTCTGAAAAGTCCTTATCCAAAGGAACATTCCCCTTCTTTGTTCTATCTTTTTGTCTGTCACTTTCCCCTTTCTGAAGCATTACATCTATTTCCACAGCTTCTGGTATATTCCCTCTCATTGCTATGCCCTTCTCCTTGACACTTCTATTGTCTCCATCATGTGGAATATGTTTCTGCTTGCAAATGTTCCCCCTGACAATATCAGACCTTTCAATTTTTTGCAGTGAAACCCTGCATGGAAATATTTCAACCTTTTCTGGAGAAGTGGCCAACTGGTGTTTCTCATCTGTCGATTCAGACTGACTTACCACAACTTTCAGTCTCTCATACGATGCTGAGGTGCTGCTCCCTGTCACTGACTCCGCACTCTGCTCTCTCGTTTTACACACTGACACATTTAAACGGTATTCGCTGCAAACTGCTGCAGCATCACTTTCTCTTACCATCTCAGCGTCACTTCTGTCACACTTATCTACGTCTGAAGCCATTTTCTGACTTTCCACTGTCCTTCCTTTGCCATGTTTTCTACATCCTTTATCACATGTCTTTGTAATTTTATCACCTTCCCTGCTTGCTCTGTGACGTCTGTGTTTTCCACATTTTTTCATCCCAAGCGCCACTGATAACTGACTCATTTCATCTTCCTGAACTTTATCATCAGTACTGTTCCTGCTTAAAGCTGATGGCATCTCAACAAGTGACACTTGCTCATCTCTGACTTCATCGCCCTCAAATTCCTCTGCTTTTTGCTTAACTTCCTCTTTGTGAAGTACTGCCTCTTCTTCATGATCAATGGCATCTTTCCTTTCTTTGCCACATTTTAGTTCATCTTCATGTAAAGATGACCATCTCACATTCAAACTTCTCCCAACAGGAAACTGGTCAGTGCTACCAACAGGAACTGAGCCTCCAGTATGAAATGCTTCTTGAGGCGCAGTGATATCCACATTCATCTCATCCTCAAGGAGCGGCTGCTGGATGTTTACTCTTTCCACTGAATCTTCTGATGTGGAGGTTCTCCCCTTGGAATGCACTATCCCGATTGCAGCTGGATGTGAGTCCCCGCTGGATGCCGCTACATTGATACTATTTATGGGAGAAGCACTCTTCTGTTTCAGTGGCTGCCACTCAGCAACATTCAGTTCTGCCACCTCCCAGTGCTGTGAACCACCAGTCCCTGGAACACAATCATTTACAATGCTGAAGTAAAGATATATCTCTTTCCTTCTTTGTGGGTCGTTTAACAATTCGTACAGCACGGAGATTACCTAGCACTGGATGGTAGGATGACTGGTGGGAAAGGAAATTGGCACGGTCTACCTGATGAACCATTCCAGCATCCACATCAAGGGACAGAGAAAAACCATGAAAAATCCCTGGGATAGCTGACGTCCAGGCGGAGATTCAAACAGCGCTTTTCAAATAAAAGTCTATAAACTGATGAAACTTTTATTATCTGGGAACATGGGAGTTTAAATCTTTTGGTACTACGAGGCTATCAGTCAGACTTTAACTTGGGAGTAACAGTCTAGCATGTGGGAATAGGGGATTACAAATTTCCCTCTCCTATGGGGCCAGATTTTTAGCCATGAGTAATGAATGTTCAAGGAAAGAAATTGTCAGTATCTCTCTTGAGAGCTGGACCCTGCCAGTCCAGTCAATAACCTGAATATGCAACCAGAGCTTACTATGATGATCATCCAGAAAGTAGACTATTAGCACACGTGTGTTGACTTTGCTTGGGACTTATTCTTTTCATCCTTCCTACAGTACAGACCTGGATCCAAGTGATTTTTACTTTTTCACACACCTGAAGCAGTTTCTGTTTCCTGGCCAGCATGAACATGTGTAGCGATGAAGTGAAGAAGATGGCGGAAGACTGGTTCAATAGACTGGTGGAAGACTTCTACTATGCAGGCATACAGAAACTCATCACACAATATGACAAGTGCCTGAATCTTCATGGGGATTAAGCAGAAAAATTATTTAAGCAATGATGTAAAATAATTTGTTTAATTTAATTCTTTTTCTAACACCATTACCCTGAAGACAAACATAAGCCACCAGTGCCCACATTAGCATGAAGTTTAAATCACCTATTTTTATCTGATAAAGATTAATTTACAAAACTTAGAAAAATTTCAAATTTCTGTATATTCACTCGATGCTTTTTCAGTACTAAAGTTTCTTTACAGAATTTCTACTACATTGTGACATGTGTCAATTAGTGTATTTATTCATGTGTTGGTCATAACCACATACAGGTCATCTCTTGCACTTTTCAGTGTTCCTTAAATATGTCTATTCTATTATCTTCACATTAACAGCCAGTAATCCACTTAAAATTGTGTCACTGATCAGTGTAGCTCAATAAAAAGTGCAACTTGCATGCAAATGTCTGGGTCAGCAAAAGAGTTTGTGCACTTCTGTGTTCTATGAGTTCAGTGGTCATTCTCCCACTTTCCTGGAGTTAGTTAGCTAGTTAGTCAGTCAGTCAAGTCAGTTGGTTAGTTTACTTTAGTTTAGTTTCTTGGGGTGGGGTGAGACTGGGTCCACTTGGCATGTCAACCACTATTTGGCCTATTGTACCAGCCCCAGATGACGATAAGTGTGGAGCAGTCAGGGGAATGAGAATTGGCAAGAGAAACTGAAGGTCATGAAGAAAACCTGCCCCAGTCCTACACAGTCCATCACAAATCCCACATGACCTGACCTGGGCTCCAACCCAGACCGCTGCAGTGGGAATCCAGCAACTAACTGCATGAGCTATGGCATGACCTTCCTGGAATTAACTCCCAAGTTACATCTTTTCCATGGCTAAGATGAAAACTTCCATGTTACCAACTAAAATTTCAATGAAGACTGAAACCCCTATTTGGTTCCTTTGGCAAGCAATGGAATTTAACATTGAAGTGAGGAAATTGTCACATGGTGGAAATTTAACTCTGAGATTACTGACTCGGGTTAAGTTACACTGAACATCAAATGGCAGAAAACCTTGTATTCCAGAACACGGAACAGTGATTTCACTGTGCTTGTACCTGCTACAGATGAAGGACATGAGAAATAGCCTTGCTGAACAGTGTGGTATACATTTTCAAAAGCTGAGTCCATGTTCTTCTGTCGCCTTGTACACAGTTCTTCACGCCGGTAATCCTCTAGAAACATTTCTGCCTGCAAAAACAGTAGAAACACCACACAGAAGTACAGCAGTGTCCACTACTCATGCAACTGGCTGCTATATTACAATTTATAGGTTCAACATCAAATGAAACTTCATTACACCGCCAACTTCTCAATTACTATGGATGCAAAATTGTCAGTCAGCGTTATGCTGGCCACCATCTACCTACCTAAATTTAAATGCTAATATAAATATTTCATTGCTCCACTAGCAAAGTGCCTATTTTTTCCCTTGTACTGGGGCTGTGACCACTTCTCACAAAATTACAGCCTAAACATTCATGGCCATAAGAACCCCCAAATCCCTTCAACTTTTAAACAGGTTTTGCAGAAACAGCTCATCATATGAAACACACGCCTACAATTTATATTTTAAACATTCCTTGATATGGTGAATGTTCAAATAACTGCAGACTGTATCCAGTGTGCTATTTTAGTTTGACCAGTTTTGGAAATGGTGATTTATACTTGTAATAAGAGATCCCTACCTTAAGCAAACGAATACTGAAGTCAATGAGATATATAAAAACACAATGAACAAGTGTACAGAAGGTGTGTACTCTGCAGTCTACTACTCATTACAATTACTTATCTAAGCCACTGGTTTGTTCAATGTTAGTAAGACAAATCTGTCTTTACAAACCATTCTTATGCCTAAATCGTGGGAAATGTGACTGCAATTGACTCACTGGGAGACGGTGTGCCTGGGTGCTTCGAATCAACCTCTCCTCTCGTGCCAGTGTGCGCAAGTCGCCCAGCAGCTGTCTGTAGTCTTGGTGCAAATGCTCCTTTATGAGTGCTTGCTGACCTCTGGCACGCAACCGGCTGGTGGCCTCATCATCTGATAGCAGCTTGCTACTTTGGAACATCTGAGATTCAAGCTGAGCTGCCTCTGTGGCATCTGGCTGCAAAACAAATACATACAACTCAAGTTCAAGCAACGAGCAGGATCTGTCTTGAATCCACCACTCAAATACTAAGTAGCGCTTGTACTCTGTATTTAGGAGTTCCAGGTTCAAATCTTAGCCTACAGAGCCGCTATTCCAGCTGAGGTCTCCTGTGGTTTTCTTCAAACTTTGCAGGCAAACACCAGGACAGTGCAACACGTTTGGTGATAGCTGCCTCCTTCACATGCCCCCAACTCATTCACTAACCATACTACAATCTGATTCTACACAGTGTCATGTAAACAACAGATAAATAAGTAAACCATTTACAGAATTACAACTGCCCATGGCTCAGCTGTCAGTAGAAAGAGGGTCAATTTCACACAGCCAGGTGACTGCAAATGTTTTCTTACAGTGCACAGAATGACAATTCCACCATTTCTTGTTTGTTCATAAACTACCTAATACATAAGGCATCACTACACAGTAAATACATGAAAGGATACATGATACTTCATCCATTTCACTTTCAGTACAGATATAAAGAAAGGTAAAGCTATCCTTGCAACAGGGGATGGAGACCCATAGGGTTGTGAGACATCCAGACTCCCACATTTTCTAGACAATCGGATCACGGATGATGGTGAAGTTGTCAACCTTATGCGCTGGTCAACCTTTACCCCAGGAAGATTCCTGGTACTCATTTCTGTTAGTGGCAGAGTCGACCCCAGGGCCACTGTGCGGCTGGAAGGATTAGGTGAGCTTAAAAATCTGACGACCTCATCGGGAATCGAACCCATGACATTCCAGCTTGTAGCCTTATCTGTTAAGAGTACAGGGTGTCAATTCCAGAGGATAGTTATCTTCATTTCTGTATCTTGACAGTAAACTGAGATGACATTCTAAAGATTTCTAACGAGGATACACTGCACTTGGAATTACTGGGTTTCTGGACTCCGTCCGTCACATACAACATTTCAAAAACTGGATCTCTTTCTCTTACTCAATTGAAAGGATGGGGGGGGAGGCACCTACTCAGCTGGATCTAATAAAAACAGCAAATATGAATCACTAGGAATAACCGAGTAGGTGCCTTCAACCTTTCACCTGAGGATGGAAACAGATCCAGTTTCTGACCCACCGTGTTCTGTTAGGAATGCCGGATGATGGCCAGAGCCCAGGAACTCTGTAACCCCGAGTGCTGACACTACTTTCAGATTATCCTATACAATCTCAGCACAATTAGCTGTAAACACAAGTCTGTGGAACTGACGCTTTACTAGTATAAAAATGTGTTGGTCTGTAATCAAGCCAGTACCTGAACACACGCACAGCTCACCTCATGTGCACATGGGAACATTCGCTCCACTCTTGCCTGTATAGGGTGTTGACTCTCAAACCTGCTGCCATGATCATAGACCCATACCCTGGGCTGCGCTGCTTCCGTTGATATACTGCTTGTTGTGGATGCAGTAGAAGGGGAGTCATCTGAGTGGATTCCCTCAGCTGATGTATCAGATGTATCCATGCTACACACAAAGATAACATTTGGATCCATCTTAATATTATCTTCCCAGATACGTTAAAGTCCAGAACAGTATCGAATCAAAATTTGAATCAGGGGGAAATTATGAGGAGACTGAATTCAGGTAACGCTTGCTACCATTCAGTTCAGAACCCTTGTCTTTTCATCTGCTGTCTAGAAACATGAATATTAGTATATAGTGTACAAAATTATAATTTTTTCTGTGATTTTATATGGGTGTGAAACTTGGTCTCTGACAGATTTAGGGTGTTTGAAGACAGGGTGCCAAGGAGAATATTTGGACTGAAGTGAGATGAAAAAATAGGTTGGAGAAAACTGCACAATGAAGAGCTTCATAATTTCATCAAGTCAAGGAGGATGAGATGAGCAGGGCATGGGGCAAAGAGGAATGCATATAGTAATTTGATGGGAAAGCTGGAGAGACCACTAGAAAGACCAAAATGTAGGTGGGTGGATAATATTAAAATGGATCTAAGACAGATAGGATGGGGTGCTATGAACTAGGCTGATATGGCTCTTGTGAACACAGTAATGAACCTTCAAGCTCCATAAAATGTTGGGAAGTTCTCGAGTAGCAGCACAACTGGTGGCTGCTCAAGAAGGGCTCAGCTCCATGAAAGTAGTTAGTTAGATATGTTAAAGCAAGTGAGCACTTCCATTCAGGAGTTGCTACTTAAATTTTTGTATTCATTTATCACTTCTCCCATAGGTGCTACACATTCCACTCATCTTGTCCTTGACTGGATCATCCTAATAATATTTCATGAAGAACATAAATTGTGACTGACTTCTTCTTCAATCCCCTGCCACTTCCTCTCTCTTAGGTCTAAATATTGTCCTCAGTACCCTGCTGCCAGTCAGCAGCAATTTAGGTTCTTCCCTTAGATCAGCATCCACATGAAAGAACAGATAAAGTAGAGGACAGCTAACTCAGAATTTTCCTGTTGAATTATCAACAATGAAGTATAGAATAAGAGTCCAACTTGTCTGTTACCTAATAAAACAGTTTCACACACAAAAAAATAAGAGTTAGGAACCTCGTGAATTACAATATTGTCATATGAAAGCCATTAGACAACTGTTGATAGGCAGCAGCCGGTAAACATGTGGCCACATCAACAAACACACAGTCTGTTGCTAGGCAACAGCCCCAGCTGACATGTCATACAAAAGAGGAGCTGTTGGAGGTGGTGTTTTCTGAGGTCCAGCCTGAGGCTATATAATGAGGACCAATGGGACAAGCCAGCTATGAGTTAGCTGAGATTCAACAGCTGGAGTGAGGAATCAGATGAGAAAGGTAGCCAGCAATGACTTCCGTGTGGGAGCAGAAGAATCTCCGCTGCTGGGAACCATAACTAAGCAAAAGCTAGTGAAGACTATAACAGACAAAGACATCATGTGCTACTGTGATCTGTTGAGTATGTAGCTTAGAGGCAGCGCTATTATTATTTGTGGTCATGAGTTGTAAGCCTTCAATAAATCCAATTACCAATCCATAAACCCCTGTCTTGTCACTAACATGTGACAAAACCTTATAAGATTCGATGTTTTCATGGTGGTGAAGACACACATTGTGTTATTCTGGGTGCACTCCATGTAGGCTGGTAGGTGTGTACCAACATTTCACCTTGACAAATAAATTTCAGATCTGAAGATGGAGGCAGCATGTTCACTTGAAATGTATATATGAGACCACATGGTGCCTAAACCAACAAAGCTGTAATACATTTCAACTGTTTGCTCTTCCTGCCCACACAGACATGTACAGTCTGGACTGTGTCACGGAACACAGCCATCACCTAACGGTAGCTACTGCTGCTTCTGATGCCCGCACACAAGCGTGTGCCTTACTTGTACAGAAGCATTGCTTCTGAATAGGTTCTCCCTTCAGTCAAAGTGGAGGCAAGAGCTTGCTTTGACCTCATACCATCTGATTCTTGGTCTACCAAAATCTGTTCACCCATATTATTATATTTGTTTGCAGGTGTTGACAACTGTTTTGCCTTAATATTGTAACGTGTTTCGTTACCGATCCCACTTCTGACACCAGTGTAACGTGTTTCGTTACTGAAGACGCCGTAGAGATGGTTAATTGGTTTATTTAACAATCTACAAATAACGGCTACAATTACTTATCTCACAGTTGCGGGGTTTCACACTTTATAACCCTAATCGCATTAATCTGTTAACACGGTTGCGGGGTTTCACGACTTATAACCCTATGCGCAAATCAGTTCACTCTGTCTTCAGTAGTCTACACGTTGACAGTAGGGGAGCTAGGTATCACTGTATCACACGCTCCCAATTACACAATCACTCGCACGTCCGGATCTTCTTTCCGCGGCGGCTGCTATACTCCAACTGTAGTCTGCTCACTGGAGAACTGTTGATGACGCACTCGCTCGTAGGCTTGCTCGAACTATCTTCGGCGATGGCTACATTACAACTCTGCGGTAGTCACACTAGAAGTGAACTGGTACCAGCTGTGCAGCTCACTTATATAGCTGCAGTGCTTGCCGGTTGCGTAATGAGTGCCACGTCATCCTGTTACGTCACCGCTGTTGACTCGCCTTGCGTAGTTACCAGGTTGCGGGGGCTCGGCTATCTTCGGCTCCGCTCGGCTCTCTTCGGCTCTGCTCGTGACGTCACCGCTCATAGCTGCCAGGATGCGGGGTGATTACTCGCCTATTACGCGAGCGTTACGTTACCGCTGAGGGGTGGGAGGGGAGCGCTGACTCACCCACCGCGTCACTGCTGGTGTGGGGGGGGCTCGGCTTTGCGCCACATGTCACAATATTCTTTCTTCTAAAAATCTGTTTGTTTATTCAGACAATTTATGATACTCCATCACCTGATGACATGAAACATTAATATCCACCCACCAGAGTACTGTGTTATATCCTTAATATCTGCAAACCCTGCAAAAAATGCATATCACTACATAAGTGCTTCATCAACCCACCACATTTCTTCGCTAATGTAGTTCAAATCATTACGTCAATTTCGAGAGCCACTACATATGCGCCTGCAAAAAATGATATGCATTTTTTGCAGGGTTTGCAGATATTAAGGATATAACACAGTACTCTGGAGGGTGGATATTAATGTTTCAGAGGAAGAAACTGACTCCATCACCAGGGTAGAAGGTTGAGGCACATTCTCTTCCAAGCTTTTGGAATCCACTACGGAACACAACACACAAGATCACAATAAAAATATACATCTGTTACTTACGATGCTGTCAGCAGCTAGACTATACAGCACTGAATGGTAGGATGATCGGGAACACCGAATTAAAGAAGAGAATGGAAGAATTTGTGGCATAACTGAGAGATACTGACTATCCTAGCATTTCCCTGGAGGAGCTGATGAAAACAATGAAAAATCTAAGTCAGGATAGCGGGTATCAAGGCTGAGATTTGAACCAGTCATTAGTAGAGAAATAGCCGTGAAACAGCACACTAAGGTCAGTGGTGGTAGTACAAGGCACAAGAATAAAACAGCGCAGTGACATACATAAAACACTAGCAAACAAGAACAAGCCAACAATAAGTTCTTAAGCAGCTATTAATGCTGAGTCAAATATGATAAACATCACAATATCTTACTCTTTCCTGGATGCCTGTTTTGGTGTCTTCTTCTCGAGTGACGCTACGACTATAGATCTCAAATCTTCAACGTTTCGCACAAATTTCTGCCGCTTTTTTGAAGCATCCCTCTCATGTTCTGCATGTGCCTGCTCCTGTCTCAGTTTCACAGTTGCTTCTCTGCCTCTATCCTCTGCTTGCATGTGGTTCCTCTCGCGTTCAGCTTCTAGAACAGCAGCTGCATCCGGCTGCAAGTCTCACAGGAATTACACTCTCTGGACTTGGTGTCTAAACTGAATGTATAATGTGGAGGTCACAGCTAAGGTTCCAAATATACACTCATCAGTTACTACAGGTGTAAGTGTAGGCAAATGTCATGTACTGTGTGGCCTTCTGGGTTATAACTCCATGTAGTCTGGTAGGTGTGAGAAGCATACTACCTTCAACTTCAGAGTTCAACCCTGTCATAAGAGTATCATAATGCAGAAGGCAATATGAATCTTGACCACAGTGAAAACCACAAATCTTGCAAGTGTCAAGCACATCTTTAGCCACATCTTAAATATTAAAAAATTAGTAAATTAATGACTTCAGACTTGTTTGTGCTGCTGTCCAGACTGGTTTAAATTGCAGCTGTTTTGCTAGAAAATATGTCGCAGTTTAGTTATTTACCAGCATTGCATGAAATGGCGTGCTTTATGTGAAGTAACGACTACCAGGAACTGAGCCAATCCATTTCCGGTACAGTCTCCATCACAGCATCAGCATGGACTAAAGAAAACCATAAGCACATACACACACAAGACATGAAACGAAGAACCTGGCAGGGCAGCTGATATCTTGCCCAAGACTGAAACCAGTACCACTCAAAATATAAATGTTACCACATGTGTTAATCTGCCTGTGTACTTTAATTAATCATGTTTTAACGCATTTTACACATTTCTGCCTGACTGAGAGTTGAAACCCCTCCAAAACATCAGCGAGCCTCTACCAGTCTGCACAGCACCGCATCCCACATGACAGTGCTCTCTATTTACAGCCTTTGTCACAAACAATGGCGTCAGGACCTCAGATTATATAGTGTCAAATGCTCGGATGATTAGTGAATACTTAATTGGAAAGAACATGGAAGTAAGCACTCATGGCTTAATCTGAGGTACTATCACAACATTTTCCTGCAGAGGCTGAGGAAAATCATGAAGATCCTCAGACAGTATTGAGTCATCACGCTCAAATCTGACTCTGGGATTTTCAGAACACAAAACAGGAAGTTGACCATTGGCTTTTGATCTCAGTGAATATCAAAAACATATACAGAGCCCTCCATTCCAAATATTCAGATGTAAAGTAAAATTCTCACCTGTAACGCTGCTTGCATGTGGCCCATTCCTACTTCTTTGAGACAGTCTTGGTACTGCCCCTGCAGTAACAACAACCTATAAGCTTGCAATCTTTTTAATTCCGCAGCCTGCTGACATTCAAAGGCACTGCCCTGTTTATCTTGCTCACTTCTTACTTTCTGACGTATCTGAGTTGCTATGTCTTTTGACTGCTGGCGTACCTAAGAGCAACAAATCAGTTACATGTTTCTAAGTATGCACATGGTGGTCCTCTGGGTTATGAGTTACTTCGATAGACAAGTACTAACATTTCGATGGAATGTACTGCTTCCATATTCTGGGTCCCCTTCCCTTTCCTTCCCCAGTCCAGCATTCAATATTTCTAAATCTCATTATCCCATGCACTTTTATCCTGAAGACAGAGAAAGTGTGTTCCTCTGAAACAATCACAACATAAATCTTTACTTCTGTAAAAAACCCTGTTCATTCTCATTACCCAGATGTACCTGAATGTGGACTGGAGGGAAATTCTACACCCAAGCAATGCTTTGAACAAGGACAGCAGGCCACCAAAGTAGTCTCCCACAGGCTACTGTGGCCAAGTGTTGTCAGCACCACATTTATGTTCAGTTCTTACAGTGGACAGCAATAACTTTACACTATAGCAGTGCTGTCCAACGTTCTTATGCACTCGGGCACAATTCACTGATGCCTATGGAGGTGCGGGCGCCAACACACACTACAACTACTACTACTAATAATAATAATAATAACAATAAAAACAACAATAATAATAATAATAATAATAAAAATAACATTTTTTGAAAATATTTAACAGTACTCAGACATTCAAAAATGTCTCTTGTCTTACAATTTGAATTAATACTAAAAATCGGCTCAATTATATGATGTTACAGAGGGCACCAGAAAAATATACCACGGATGCCGTGTTGGACAGGGCTGCACTATAGGAACCATGTTTCTGAGTGCCTGTTAACAAGTAAGTGCCATAAAAATAGTAAAAAATGACATTAAAAACAAAACCACCTGGATAACTGTTGGAATAAAAACTTCACGTAAACATAANAAAAGACAACTATATTTGGCCAGTAGGGACAGTAATGATCCAAGACTAAAAAGTCACTACAAAATATACTGTAAAATTTTGTCAAAAGTCATTAAAGAAGCCAAACAGAATAATTATAACAACCAAATTCTAAAATCAAACAATAAAATTACCTGGGATACTGTGAAAGTTGAATTGGGAAAGAAAACTGTTAATGAAGATGTACAAAGTTTGAATATTGAAGGAAAGTCTACTAATAATCCACAAGCTACTGCGAGTGCATTTAATGAATATTTCCTCTCATTAGTTGAGAAAACATACCTTAATAATAATAATCCAATATATTATCTGTCACATTCCTTTGATAGTTCATTTCCAAACATAAATCTCAAATTCTCAACAATAAAGGAAACTGAAAACATTATTAAATCCCTTAAGCCCCAAAATTCACATGCATATGATGAAATTTCTACCAATTTACTTAAAGCAAGCTCTGTTTACATCAGTTCACCATTGAATCATTTGTGTAATAAATCTTTATCATCAGGGATTTTTCCGCAACACTTAAAATACGCTGTAGTGAAACCACTTTTTAAAAAAAGGCGAGAGAAAATGCATTTCTAACTACAGACCAATATCTATATTGACTTCATTCTCAAAAGTCTTTGAAAAAGTTATATATAACAGATTACTTGAACACTTAAATTCTAACAACATATTAGTCAAAGAACAGTTTGGATTTAGGAAAGACAAAACCACAGGAAAAGCAACCTATGAACTAACCAACGATATTTTAAATGCTCTCAATAACACATTAATAGTGGGAGGGATTTTCTGTGATTTAGCAAAAGCTTTTGATTGTGTAAATCATGATATCTTACTATCAAAATTAAATTTCTATGGAATAACTGGCAAAGCTAATGAATGGATCAAATCATACCTCAAAAATAAGTACCAAAGAGTGGAGATAAAAAGTAAAAATTCCAGTTCTAATGCATTTTCAAACTGGGGAATCATAA